CATTCTTGATCACTGGGTATTTATTCATTTTCGGATCCATCTTGAGCACTGTTTTTGATTTTATCTTCTTTCTTTTCTGTTCTTTGTTGATATTTGTAAAAGAAATTATCCTAAATAGGACTAAAACATAGTTAAAACTCCAAAGTGGGACTATAAGGTTATTATTTCCAAAATAGGACTCCCAATTACTTTTCTACCCTTCCTATTATTAAACCCAAAATCCAAGCAGCGGAGACCCCAGAGGGCCACACCCGTGAACAAGACACAGCCCATTCACAACCTAGTGGTATCCCGATCTTTCATCACCGCCGCCATAGCCGCCGCCGCTCGCCCGTACCACAACCATAGCCGCCGCCGCTCGCCCGTACCACAACCATAGCCGCCGCCGCTCGTCGGTATTGAAGCCATAGCCACCACCAGTCTTCTCCATCTCTGCTGGCCTACGATTTTTCTCAAAACCAAGTAATTTCTCCTTCTCTCTTCTCTCCTCTTCTCTTCTCCTCTCCTCTTCTCTTCTCCTCTCCTCTTTTTTTTTTCTCTTCCATTTCTGTTGGTCGTGCTCTGGTTTTTTTGTCCCATGGATGGGATTCAAGTAGATCTGATATTGTTTTGATGAAGCACCCATGATTGGAAAAATGATTTACTTGGACTTTAGATCTAATAATAGTTCGATGAAGCACAAACATTTGGACTTGAACTTTTATTAATTTTAAAATTTGATTAATTTTTCGTTTTTAATTTTATTCACCTCAAGATGACATTTGGACTTGAAATGAAAAAAAGTCACTTATATATTATTGCATCTATCAAAATGACAAAATTACTTACAAATTGAATTTGTGGAATGCCATTTTTTGACCCATTTTACAAAATAGTGTCATTTTATGCAATTCACTTTGTGAAGATGTACTTAAAATGACGTAATATGTCATTTTATAATTTCATATGAAAATGCTATGTTTAAACTGAAAATAAATATGTCATTTTATAATTGCATATGAAAATGCAAAATGACATGCTTTTGGCCTGTTTGACAAAATAGTGTCATTTTTATGCAGCACACTTTGTGAAGATGTACTGAAAATGACATGATATGTCATTTTATAATTTCATATGAAAATGCTATGTTTAAACAAAAAATGTCATGTTTTGTCACTATTTTAATCATGCTGTCAATCTTAATGAAAATTGAATTTTTCAACATTATTACTTATTGACATTCTTCATTTTTCTTTTGCTTCTCATATTTCACAGTTTTAATTCTAAAATGTCATTTATGTTTACATAATTATGTCAGAATTCAATATAAAAATCTCATAACATATACTCTAGAGGAGGTAGTTGCAAAAGAGAAGATATCGACACTTCCAGGAGAGAATTTAGCAGCAGCGGCGGCGATTTTGCTGGCGGCAGTGGTGGAGTCCTCATTGGGCAGTGGCGGTGGCGGCCTCCCTGGGCAGTGGCAACATCGGCTTGGCTGTGATGACTAGCAAAAAAGGGACGGGTGGTGTCGGCATAAGAGGTGCATCGATCGCAGATGTAGAGGTTTTTATTTCATTAAGGGCAAATGTGTCTAATCAGTAATAAAGAGTCTTATTTAAGAAAAAATAAACTTAATGTCCTAATTAGGCACATCTACTATGTTTTAGTCCTATTTAAGTAAATCTCTCTATTTGTAAGCAGTGATTCAATAGCTCTACCAATTCTTGTACGTTTAACTCACCCCAGAATATAATTGTGCTTATAGAGCAGAGAAAACAAGCAAGCAATGCACATCACCACGTCACATACGTTTTGACATGAAAGGAGAAAATCATACAAATGGGATGTCTCATGATACGCGACTTTCAGTGAAAGACTCAGGAGAAGGAGAAAGAGGAGGAAAATTCACGAGACGGGGCCATGCACCACCAGTATGGGAGATTTACCTTAATAGGATCAAAACATGGCTTTTTTCTCAAAATAGGAGTACATAGTTTAAACATCCTTAAATAGGACTTTTTATTAGTGATTGGACCAAAATACCCCTCACAACCTTTACCACTGCTGCCCAGGGACTGCCGGACCGCCGCCTGCCGCCGCCGCCTGCCGCCTCCGCCGCCTGCCGCTGCCGCCGCCTGCCGCCTGCCGCCTGCCGCCTGCCGCCTGCCGCTGCCGCCTGCCGCCTGCCACCGGCCGCCGCCGCCGCCGCCGGAGCTCCGGCGACCGCCACCGGAAAAATTCCAGATTTTTTTTCTGGAGGTTTGCCAACATTCTGCCGCCACCTGCCGCCGGCCTCCGCCGCCACCGCCGGAAACCGCCTCTTCCACTGCCGCCAACCTGCCGCCACCTCCGGATTGCCCCGCTACCAACGGACTGCCTTGGTTGTGCAAGAGAACTAGGGGGGGGGAATTAATTGGATTAATCAATTGCCGGAGTTGCCGCCGCCGGAATCCGCCGCCGGCCGATGCCGGAGTGCTGCCGCCACCACGGACTGCCCCGCCACCGACGGACTGCCTTGGTTGTGCAAGGAAACTAGGGGGGCAATTATTTAGATTAATTAATTAATTAAATAGAATTAGGGGTAAAAAAGGTAAGGTTAGTCCTATTTAGAGAAAAACATGCATGTGGTCCTATTTTGAGAAAAAGGTTGAGTTTTAGTCCTATCTTGGACAATTTTCTCCACCAGTATTCATTGGTGAAGAGGACTTGTTTGATGATACAATGTCTAATCCGTCTCTAACATTTTTTAGAATGATGTTTCTGGCGTTTAAGTACATGAATGTTGCTAGAATGAATCACCAAATTCTATGATTGCATTGTTTTTGGTGAACTCAAGTGCTCGTTGGCTGCCAGATGTGTATATTTGCCAAGTTTGGTATTACTAGGCTTTAAACATGACATTTGTTTTCCAAACTTGGCAGATTACTCCTATTCAGGGAATAAAAATATGATAGTCCTATTTTGGAATTTCAAAACGTTTTTACTCCTATTTACGACAATTTCTGTAATTTTAAGTATTAGATTATTGTTTTTAATTAATATAGGTATTAAGTTGTATTACTACAATATAAATGATTCATTTAATTAATAAAGTACGAGATTATCTACTATATCAATAATCTAATAGATTTATTTAATGGATAAAAACATCAAAGTTTTATTTATGAAAAAATATTTATAAATTAATAATAATACCGGGAAAGAGTAACATAAAATAAAAAAAATTAAAGAAAAATTAAAAGATAACTAAAAGCTTAAAAAATAAATAAATTCAATAAAATACCTAAAAAAATATTCAAAATATGTAGACCTATGTCGCCGTATCCTCCACCTCCCAGCAGCACCAGCTTTGATCGCCTAAAAAATGTAATTTTGTCTAAAAGAAAGTGGCATGTTCCTCTGAAAATGTCATGAAATGACATTTTTAATTTTTTGAAAATATCTAACTTTGCTTTTAAAATTTTCATCACGATGATATTTTTTTGCACGTTGGCCTTGGTTTCCCAAGACTGGAGGTGGCGATGCTAGAAGGTGGCTAAGGCGGTACTGGTTGAGGTATGTATATATTTTTATTTTTCTTACGATTTTTATTTTACTCTAATTGTTTTATGTTTTATTATTATTATTTAAAAATCCTATTAAGCGTGACAAGGGAAATGGTAAGATATGAAGAGTTAGTCTTATTTTGGGAATTTAAACTTTATGCTCCTGTAATTACAATTTTCTTTCATTTATTCCTATTTGCGGAATTGCCCTTATAAAGAAGTTTATAGTTTATTTACTCCTCTGTTCTGCGCTGCTAAGATGGTCTATATAACCTTCCTTTTTCGTTTTCGGTCTGTCCGACTAAAACTGTTCATATCAAATTTGATAAAATTTGTGTTGTTCTAAATCATTTTTACTTTTTTCTTATTTTATCATTCCAATATCAATTACATAAATTCACTTTTTTATAATCATGCTACACGCCACCTCTCATGTCCCAATGTTAGTTGGTAAGAGTTTTTATTTCAAAAAACAAAAAGAAGCAAGAATTTTTATAATTGCATCGTATATGAATACGCTTGTCATCCGTCAAGAGAATATATTTGGTCAAGAAGCAATTAAACTTTTTGAATTTTTGAAAGGTAGTAAAACCCTAAAAGTCATGGAACCCAACCCATTTAAAATCTATTACGATCATTATTTGATCGGAATTTATCACAGTCCTCGATCTAATTCTCATTAGCTAGCAAACTGCTTAAAAATGTTTTCCTTGCTCAAATATAAGTTCATTGAGTCCTAATCAAACTTAAACATGTCTAGATCCCTTTTACCTTTTTAACTACTACGTACGATAGTATTTATTTTGTAGAATATTTACATGTATATATATATATACTCAATGTACCATTGCTCGAGGGTACAAAAGTGTGCTCTAAGCTAGTAGGTAGTGAGAAAGTTTAATGAATGATCAATGATTGAAACCTGTAATTCCTGTGAAGGTTACGGTCTATGTCATCATGTATATTGGACTGGACCTCTTGTATTCATGGATATAAGGTCTACCTCATCAATTGGATTGAAAGAGGCATAAAGCCGCTGTATTTACAACCTCCGATATGACTTGTTGAGTAAGGCCGGGGATTCAACATTTTTCAACCTTTTGGAGGAAGAAAAATGTGCTCTAGTACGTTTTGAAATGTACCACATACACACAAAATACATATACAAATCGTACTCAGATATGAATTAAAATAGGTACAGACTTGAGGCGTCGAGTTCCAAAAGTGTGTCCAGATAAAGCTAAGGCTGTTTCAAACATAGACCAATTAACCAAATGTTCTTCGATCAACTTGCCGTGGACGGGACGTTACGCGGAGATGTATGAATTCTAAAGAAGAATTTATAGTACTACGTATATAGCTCATCCCCTTGGCCATAGCTAGGCTTTTAAATTAAATATAATAAATTCTCCAAAATTTATATGCTTTAATTGGATTTCTTTTCTTATATATTTCATTCACATGGATCATATCATCGTTTCAATTTTCTACTCCGGCCGCCAGTTCAGAGAGCGTCTTGCATGTGTCGGTACGTTACGTTCTTCAATTCCCTGGCCTTATCATTCTAGGCACTCTTTATTGGATGGATCTTTTCATTTATTTCTCTGCTTCCAGTTAGTTATACGAAATTATATTGATGAAATGAGCAAAAATGCCATAAATGGTTTGTTGAGCCTTTGATAAAATATTCGGATCCTACATGTAAATTTTTTATCTTCCTAGAACTTATTGATAGTCAGTCTATTTTTCAGTTCTATTATTGAAAAAATTCCATAGACATGCAACATATTTGGAAAATCTCATATATATCGATCCCTTGTAAGTCTAGAAATGGAAGAAGTTTGATGATTATTTCTTTCTCATTACTAGCTAGTGGACGTCAAAATATTAATTGATTTAGGGTTTAAGGGAGATTAATTGAAACTTCAGATTTAGGGTTTAAGGGACATAAATCTTCATCATCTTCTAACAAAATCTAAAGGTACAGAACTGATAGTCCGGATTTATATAAAAAAAAGAGTACATAATTGAGATTATTTATAAATTATGCTTAATTTCCATTTAAAAGTGATCGATAATTCTTGGCGGATGATCTATGTAGTTTGGACTATAAAAAAATAATCGATAATCGGAAATACTAAAAGCAGATCAACTATAGTTGACATTATTTGTTTTCATTTTTCTTAAATCTTTCAGGTTAATTTCAATGTTTTTCGAATTAATGGTGTTATTTATGATTGGGAAAAACACACTTTTAGTCTCTCAAATAGTCAGAATATTGAAATGTTAGACCCGTGTTTCCAAATTTGTAAATGTCATCCATCAATTGTCCAAATTGTTGTATATGTGGTCTTTTGAGGGATGAAATGTACGATGTGGGCGAGGTCTACCGTGTACGTACGTTTCACCTCCCAAAGTACAACATTTACAACAATTTAGAGATTCTTAGCGGGACGGAAGGAGTAGCTAGTATATAATAATCTATAAACACAAAAAGCAAAACTAGCAAATATTGGCATTCTTTGGCAACTTTAACCAATTCCATAGCGTTAACAATATCTTGATCCTTTCTTTGTAAAGATTTTGACAACTCATTTGTTTATTAAGTGTAAGGTGAAAGCAAAATCAAAAGATTAGACCCATTGCAAGAGTGTTTGAGCTTCAACTCCTTGTTCAGCTTTAAGTTGGTGTTCCAATTTTCAATTGCCTGTCTGTCAATTGATTTAAGTTGATGTTCCAATTTTTAAAAAAGTTTACATTGACCCCCATTTCTTTAATTAGTGGAGTGATGTCAATTTATAATTTATGAAACATACATACACCCATACAAAGAATTTTTATTTTTCAGTGGTCTCAATTTTAGAATTTTCAAAAATTTTATATACCTACTTATGGGGAAAAAAAATTAGTGGTGTCAATTGACACCACACCTCCCTTGTTGGCTCCGTCCCTGATTTAGACTCAATTGAGGGATGTCATTTATAATCTCAGAAATATGGGTCTGACATCTCAATATAATGACTATCTCAAAAGTGTGATTTTCCCTTTATGATTTGATTAGTAGTTTTATGTTATACGTAGTAGTTGTATATTATATGAAGTATGTAATATCGCCTTCACTAAACAATTGTGGAGTTTTGTCACGCAGAGACCATGCATGGCGTTTAAATGTTTATGGTGAGGCTGCCAGCATGCAAAGTTGAACATTCTCAGTAAAAAAAGGGGCATTTTCAATCTGTCAGCATTGAATGAAAAGATAAAAATGGTTTCTGATGAAGAAGATGGGGCTACTACTCACACCACCACCAGCAGGTTTGACTGCAACATCTGCCTAGATTCTGCACATGACCCTGTGGTCACTTTTTGTGGTCATTTGTACTGCTGGCCTTGCATTTACCTTTGGCTAAGCACCTCCAATGAACACCCTTCTCACCACCCCAATTGTCCTGTTTGCAAGTCTTATATCTCCAAATCCACCCTCGTCCCTCTTTACGGTGACAGCGTATCGTCCTCGTCCTCCTCATCCTCGTTCTCGTCCTCCTCCTCCTCGTCTGACTCTGATACCAAGAAGCACCAACCGAACTTCGTCCACATACCTCAAAGGCCACCGGCTCTTAGTGTGGGGGTGGTGCATGATAATCCCGATGACCCGCCGCCACCGCTACCGTCAGAACCGCCGCCGTACATGTCTCATTCCCTTGGGGGCAGCCATGGTTCCACTCGGGCTGGCATTGGTGGCACAGTCATTGCCGGATTTTTTAACCCCACCATTGGGGAAATGTTTTCTGCAGCAATGTTTGGGAGCTACGATGCTAACTTGTTATTAGCCTATCCCAGTCTGGATCCAAGAATTAGGAGGCAAGAAATCATGGTGGGCAGATCACTTCATAGATTATACATCTTTCTCCTGTTTTGCCTCATTTTGTGCCTTCTTCTTTTCTAATTATATGTGTTTGGATCTGATTCTTAAAATTACTTCGTCTACTTTAATTAGGGAATAGAAGCAAATATTAAAATGTTTGGATTAAAGTGTAAAAGTAATTGTAAGTGCTCCAAAATACTTCTAAAAGCAGTTTTTAGAAGTGGGGAAAAACTGAAAATTAATTCTAATTCTATGCTTTTAAAAGAGAAGCAAAATCAGTTCAAAAAAGGATCATCATAAGTCCTTCCTCTTTGTTTGGTGACTTCTACTTTTTTACTGTAAACAATTACCGCGCTGGCCAACTACTCACAAGTCACAACGTCGTAGATGCTCCGCTGTTTACTTTTGTTTACTTTTGTGTGCCTTGCTTAATACAGGCAATTAATCTTGAAGTGACTGCCACTAATCATGTTTATTTATAAATTATGACTTTATTTGCTCGGAAATATGACCTAAGTATGCGTTAAAGCTTATACTCCATTAAAACGTTTATTTAATTATGTCAACCATAACTTTTATTTTATTTTTTTATTTTAAGAAGCGAATTATGGATCATATGAGTCATTAAATGTATTGATCGAATAACGAATTAACAAAATAACTAAAAAACTTAAATAAGTTGTGATTTCATCCAATACCGCCAGAAAAGTAATTTCAACCTTACTTTTTCTGCATATTACAGCGTGCGAAATAAAAAAATACGTGTTTGGTGAAAAAGCTGGCTGATAATTTAAGTCTGATAAGCCGAAAAACAGTGCTGCCAAACAGCCTCTACGTGTGATTTAATCAACACAAAAAAGTGGTAAATAATTAAGCTCTTAGGTCAGGTGTAGAATGTTGATGGGCTTGAGATTACGGTCGGTGAAAGTCTACTACAAAGCAATTCCTGAAAATGCTTTTTAAAATGGCTAAAGGGTCAAATTGGCCCATGTATCTGTTCGGAATGCTCAATTCGCACCCTGAATTCAAAAAAGCTTCAATTCACCCCCTGAACTCAACAAAAAGTTCAAATCCCACTTTTTGCAGGTTAATTTTCGGTCATTGCCACGTCAGCCGATTAGATGCCACGTGGAAATCTAAGGGGTCAAATAGACACCTGAACCCGACAAAGTTGTTCAATTGTTTTTTTTTTTTTTTGAAAAAAAGTTGTTCAATTGTTAAAAAGTGTCCAAATTGCCATTAAAAAATAAAAAATTGAAAATTGAAAATAAAAATACAAATAATATACAAGTTCATAATATAAAATATATAAGTCTATTTATAATATGACAATAATGTTTTTATATTTTAGGTAAATTATATATATAGGAAAAATAGTACGCAAAATACAAAATTTAATACTACGTATTAATTTGTAAAAAAATGTATGGTTGATTTTTTAAAACGGATTTAAAATATTGAAATATTTTTAATGAATTTGTTTTGTTTTATGTGAATTTACCGCAAAAAATAAGGATATATTTATATTTACAGTAAATTCATATAAAATAAACTAAAAGAAATTCATTAAAACTATTTTCATATTTTTAATATGTTTTAGATTTATATGTAAAATTACACACACACATGCATATATGTATATATATTTCGTATTATTCTATTCTAGAATTATATACTAAGTACTATACTTCATACTAATTATATGCAACATAAAAATTTTATACTATAAAAAATTATAATATGTAAATAGTTACGCACTACTGGATTTTGATATTATGTATTTAAAAATAAGTACCTTCGTTATGTTTATATATATTTAATTTACCCTAAAATATAAAAAATCGTCTTATTATATTATAAATAGACATCTATATTTTTATATTATGAACTTGTATATCATTTTATATTTTTATTTTCTATTTTTTAATTTCATATTTTTTAATAGCAATTTGGACACTTTTTAACGGTTGAGGGGTAAATTGAACAACTTTGTCGGGTTCAGGGGTCTATTTGATCACTTAGATTTCCACGTGGGATGCACGGTTGGCATATAACCGACTGACGTGGCGATGACCGGAAATTAACCTGCAAAAAGTGGGATTTGAACTTTTTTGTTGAGTTCAGGAGGTAAATTGAAGCTTTTTTGAGTTCAGGTTGTGAATTGAGCATACCGAACGAATACAGGGGCCTATTTAATCCTTTAGCCAAGATACAGGGATCTGAAAATTGGGATGGTTATTCTCCGTATTTGATAATTACATTTGTTGGTTTGCTATTAAAAGTGTAATAGTTTCAACATTGGAATAGGTTGAATTTGATGAAATGGAAGACATCATTGGGAAGTGGTTGGATTATGAAAAAATTATACGCTAAAGAAAAATTTTTTGAGAAGTCAAATTTGTGAGAAAAAATTATACTACGTATAGTATGTACAATACCTTTAATTTTATTAATACGCTAAAGAAAAAATTGTTTAAGAGATTAGTTAAAATCGCTCTCTGCAGTAACTTAAGCCAGAATAGTAACTCTAACTTTACTTATTTTGATGATTACATAATGCACCGTACAAAGTCAAAATTTATGCATTTTGTTGAGGAAAAATATTAATTGTGATCAAGCTTGTCTGATGTCTTGTTTATTTATCTAGAATAGATTAACGTTTTAATGTATTTATGATGTAATAAATTCAACTAAGGGTTTAAGGCCCAAAAAGGCCTAGGCCCAGAATTCTAGGTTACCACTCTCGGTACCTGTACCTGCGCCTATAAATACGCGTACTTGTGGTACAGGACCGAGAATAATCAGCAATACAGTACTATTTTCATACTTCTCGATAGTATAGCGTAAGGCTCTATTGCTCTTAGATTGATCATATCATTATCTAGACCTTACCTATATTGTCATAGATCGTATTTTGCTGTTCAATACATCCTTATTTTGGGACCAACAATTGGTATCAGAGCCGATCGAGTACTGATCTGCATCGAAGAAAAACTGCGAAGAATGCTCTGTTTTATGTTTTCGATATTTTATTGAATCTGTCTGTGTAAATCTGTTTTTGGACAATTCTGTGTAAAAGTTATACTGTTGGATTCGTCTTTCAAAAACGAACCAGTAGTATATCTTCATTTTCGATACCTGTAATTTTCACTTTTGGAAGTTCTCGGTATTGCTATATCGAGAAGCATGTTCTCGATACTTTAAGCAGGTTTTTCGAAGTTTGATCAAAACAGGAAGCTTCTCGACATCGAAAACAACTCAGCAGCAGTCTTCATTTCTAAAATTCTGAAAATTTTTAAGTACAGGATTTCGATAGGATGATCTCGATATTGAACTCGAGAACTTAGTTTTCGATACTAGCTTCTCGTATTAGTATTTTTTGATATTTATCCTTCGAATTACTTGTTTTTCGATATTGCAGGTTCTCGACATCGGTTCTCGACACTCAAATCTCGAAAAGACAGTTCTCGAACTGAACTTCTCGAAGTTTGACTTCTCGACAATCGACTTCTCGAAATCAATATATCGGAAACATTCTTTTCGAAGTTTTGATATCGAAACTCACTTCTCGATAATCTTTCTCGAACTCTTAGTTCTCGAACATTCTTTTCGAAGTTTTCACTTCTCGATAATCTATACTTAGAATTTTTTTGTGACAGATCAATCACTCGAACAGTCATTGTTTAAGAACAGCAGAAATGGACGCTCTTTCAATAGGAAATGATAATAGACCCCCGATCTTGCGGAGAGATGAGTACGTAATGTGGAAGAACAGGTTTCTCAATTTTCTCGAAAGCAAAGACAACTCTTCAGCCATGCTTGAATCACTGACGGAGGGACCAGCTCAGATTTGGATGATACTTGGAGGTGACAATGATAATGAGCCCCCCGTTGAACCAGTAAGGATACCTAAAGCTGTCGAAGAGTATACTGAAGAAGATAGATTGAGAGTCAAGGCTGATCTGATGGCAAAAACGTATCTGCTCCAAGCAATTCCAAACGACATCTATATCCTGATAGATAGTGTGGATTCTGCAAAGGAGATGTGGGACGAGATTAGAAAGCTGATGGAAGGAACCAATCTGGGTCTGAAAACCAAGAAAGCAAGTACTCTAACTGCATATGACTCTTTCAAGGCTAGACCTGGTGAACCACTGCATGAGACTTACAACAGATTTGTTAAGCTTGTGAATGACTTGCGAAAGATTAATGTGAACAAAGCCAACATGGAGCTGAACATACGATTCCTTTCTAGTCTGAGCCCTGAATGGAAGAGAACAGTGAAGAATGTGAGACAGAGTCTAGATCTTGATGAAGTTGATCTTTACACCATTCATGATCATCTACAACAGTTTGTAAACGACACTGCAGAACCCGAAATTGCTGATCCACTTGCTCTAGTGATGGAAACTCAGACGAGGAGTACCACTAAAACGCAAAAGAAGAAGAAAGCTGTAGTGATGTCAGAAGAAGATGAAGGAAGTGATGAAGAGATAGACATGGAGTCTGAAATGGCGGAGTTGCAGAAGAAAATGGCACTCTTGACCAATCAATACAACAGAAGGTTTATTAAGAAGAACACTTCATCCAACAAGCTGAGAACCTCCTCATCCAACTACAAACCAAAGCGGTTTGAGCAGAATTCCTCAGAAGGAGTTGTTGCAGCAGAAGAACCTCCTAAATGCTTTAATTGCGGAAAGCCAGGACATCTGATCAAAGACTGTCGCCTACCAAGAAGGAGGGACTTCAATTACTACAAGCAGAAAATGCTCCTGAACAAGCAAAAGATGTTCATGGCAAAGCAAGAAGATGAAAATGCTGCACTGCTCGCTGAGAAGGACCATTGGATGGAGGATGATTCTTCAGATGAGGAAGAAGAAAACTTAGCTTTGATGGCGATAGTGGAAAAGGGTGAAAGAAAGGGTGATGCTGCGATCCCCGGAGATGATGAAGGTGAAAGCTCAAACAGCAATGTAAGTCCTTCTAAAAACTCATGTTCTTGCAAATGCAAAAATCATTCTTTAACTGAAAAGGACAAAACCATTAGGGAGCTCGAGGCGAG